TTGGGAATTGACCAGGTGCAATTTTTGGTAGCATCAGTATTGTTCAATGGTGATGATAGTATACCTGCATAGTCTTCTCCACCAAAGAATTATGTTAGAGGAAGAATAGATATAGCATGGGGTCATTGTAGAGAGATGTTAGAAGCTGGTACTATAAAAAAAAACTTCTTTGCTTGTATTGTGGAAAGACTTTCGCTGGAGATGGTATGAATTAAGTCAAACAACACTTAGAGGGATTAAAAGGTGACGTGGATTTGTGTCGTAGAGTACCTGCTGATGTTAGATTAAAAATGAAAGAAAACTTGGACAACTTTGCTACAATGGAGCGTAAAACTCAAGAAGTTCTTGATGAGTATAACCTACCTAATTCTTATTATCGGGAGGAAGGAGCAAAGTATAGAGATTTGTGTGACGATGATGTTCAAAAAATAATCACTCCTAGTTTTAAAGGAAAGGGTATAATTAGTGGGAAAAATGAAAGAAAAGGAATGGGAGCTTAAAATTTAAAATAACAAAAAGGAATTGGTTCTTACTTTGTGCTAAGAACATGACCTGATAACCAACCTACTATCAAAAGTGTTCTTCAGAGCAAAAAAACTATAGAGAAATGTGATTTGACTATATCAAAGTGGATGATTGATTCGTGTATTCATTTCAATGCTCTAAATTCTGTGTATTATCAACAAAGTATAGACGCTATAGCTAGCATGAGCTTTGGCTATAAAGATCAGAACTTTCACAGTCTTCATGGTTGTTTGTTGGCTAAAATGTAAAGGAGGTACATAATTATGTTGAAAGTTATCGTTCAACGTGGAAGATGATTGGTTGTACGATTTTGGCAAAACACATCAATGTAGAATAACTCTCATATTAGTTTATTGTCTAAAAGGAATAGAATTCTTAAAATCCGTAGATTCTTAAGATGAATAAAAAATTGCTGACATGTTATATAAATTATTTCGAAATGTCGTGTTATTTATGGGTTTAGAATATGTGGTCCACACGGTGACGGTCAATGCCGCAAATTATGTTGTAGTTGGTAGGTTATTGGAGTGAGAGTTTCAAACATTATTTTGGTCTCCATGTGCAGCCCATTGCATTAATCTAAGATTTCATGATATTGGTAAGCTTGATGAAGTTAGTAACATCGTATCTTAAGTATCAAAAATCACAAAATACATATACAACCATTGCTACCCATTGCATTTGATGAGGAAGTTTACTAGAGGAAAAGAAATAATTTGGTCTGCTCCCATTCATTTTGCCACTAACTTTATTGCTTTACAAATCATATTAGCCCAAAAGGATCCATTAAGAGCTATGGTGACATCTAGAGATTGGACATTATCAACATATGCAAAGGAAAGTAAAGGAAATAGATACGTTGATGATGTACTGGATTCTGTGTTTTGGAAAGAGTGTGCTATTATTGTGCAACTTACCGAGCCCCTTGTTTGTGTTCTACGAATTGTTGATAGTGATAAAAAGCCTTCAATGGGCTATTTGTACGAAGCTATTCATCTGGCAAAAAGTGAGATGGAAATCAGGTTTCAAAGAAGGAAGAATAAAATTGCTCCTTATTTGCAAATTATTCAGAATCAATGGGATAGTCAATTACATAAGAATCTTCATGCTGCTAGATATTGGTTAAACCCTTCTTTTCAATATAATAATACTGATATGGAAAATCATAAACAAACTATTTCAGGACTTTTTGATGTAATTTAGAGACGCATATGGTCAACCCGATTTAAGAAGTAAGTTGATTGGTGAAATGAGACTATTTAGGCAATCACATGGTGACTTTTGATGTTTATATGATGTAGCTGATCGCCATAAAATGACTCCTAGTAAAATTTTATTCTCATGTTATGTACTTTGTTATATGTTCACTACAATTGAAAATTGCAACAACGGTAATGTTATTAAAATAAAAATTTTCATCCAATTGTGATTTATTTGATTTTAAGATTTCGCTTTCCTTGACTAGAATTGTATTTGATTATTTATAAATTGGATAATAAACTTTGTTTTGGAATTACTTCAAGAGTCAAAATTATGATCCAATCGATTTTCAAAGGTTTGGCATTTATGACAATTGGGTGTTAGAGTAGGAGCTATCGATTTTGGTAGATGATGAGTTGGAGGCATTTCGTTATGATTTGGGTGCATGTACTATACAAAATGACAAAAATTATGGTAATTGTTCGATTGGTGCTATTGTTTCTTCCTTATATTAAAGTATATATGATGTAATATTGAATTTATAACTTTTTCAGATAAATTACATTTCGATGATCTTGATCTTGATTGTGATGGAAATTATGATCAATGACAATGTCAATGAAAATAAAAGTGATACAAACAATGGAAACGAAGATTTTAATATGATTGAGACTCCATCATTGGTACAAGGCGAATGAATTGAAGAATTTATGTCTGATACCCTAACATGGATGCACTCTACTTCTTCTTAATTGAGAAAATATTGACTTATCTCAAATAATCTACTTTGTTAACATGTTCTTTACCCATGAATGACTTTTAGATGATGCTTTTATTTTGGCAAGCATATTCTTATTATATTATGAAGCTATTTTGTAAAACTTTGCTAGATTAAGAGTGTGTTTGGGAGAAATTTTTGTGGAATTTTAATCAAAATTTTAGCTGTTAAAGTCAACCTGTGGGCTCCACCTGTGAGAGGGAAGGTCAAAAATGGTGGTTGATTTAATAGTTAATGGCTAAATTTTTTATTAAAATCCTGATTAAAATTTCTCCCAAACAGGGCCTAAGTAGTTTTTAATCATTTGATTGTTGTTTTTATTGTTTCAAATGCATATTTGACTACGTATGATTTAGAATTGTGAAATTTGGAATACATATTGATCTTTAGTCAACAAAATAGTACGAGGTTAATCTACTTATTGGCAGAAAATGGTAAATTTTTATTGTTCAATGAAAATAATTAATAATATATTTGACAAGAAATAACCCGTCGATTAAACCATCGGATTATCTGTTGAACCACAAACCCGTTGACACGCTACATTGTCTGCGTCAATGTCCGGGTTGATTCTAACAACTATGATATAAACCGTGAAAAATTGAAATAAGAACATTTATTCAAAAATTTATTTGAAACATAAAAAATCGAACTAGAACAAATGATTCCATGAGAAAAATAGGGATTGAATCTTTTTTGCTTCGATCAAAATAGTTTTTTTTTTTTAACTTTTAGAATCAATCGCTCTATTTTCACAACTACTAGTTGAGCCACGTGCAATGCACGTGTTTTAGTTTAATTGAGTATGTAATAGCGTGGAATGATGGTTAGAAATTGAAATTTTAATAGATTTACTTCTCTAATATATAGTATTCGCACAAAATTAGACAAAATGAAGATAATAAATAAATATGAAATACATCGATATAATGTATGTTAATCTTCAACTTTCATCGGTGGGAGAAAGTTTGTACATCATGAAGATTGGAATTTCATCGTTGACAGGCTTGAATATGTACAGGTGATTTATCTGAAGTTTTTTTCTATAATATAAGCTGATGACCTCAGTTAAATGTTGGACGTTACCATTTCTTCTGAGATTTGTTTGCAGTGGCCTAATCGGAAGTAAGGATTATGTGCTTCGACAGCCATGTACAGAATAAGCAAGGAGCTTTCACGATCAATCCTCTAAGGTAAGCATTCTAGAATTCGGGGGGATCAACAACACATGTCCATATTCAATAAGACTGGCCTATAGAGTTATATACACCAAGGATTAAATCTACTGCTCCAAATTTCACCAAATACGCACAAGAAAAACAAGTGATAAGGAAACTTACATAGATAGCAATGGCACTAAGTGAAGACATCAATGGGTGAGCTTGGCTAGGACTTGACTTCATCCTTCGTTCAAATTGGAAGAGCACCCCCTCTTGCCCAACCTTAGTAAAGTTGAGCTTGTTCTCATTAAACCGTTGCAATACCTGATGAACTTGAAACTCAATCGGCCTCTTCTTAAGGTGCATGCCCTCATTCAGATGTGCAATAAAGCTATATTCCTTTAGAATCACCTATATGAAACAATATAGCACAAGAAAATCCTTTATATTCTCTTGATTCCACCATAACTATAATTACGGTCTCGAATTGAAACCTGGTACAAATTAAGAAACAAAAGGAGTATGACAAAAACCTGATTTTGCAAGCAGTGACATCACAGCAAAAGAGGCCTTTTCTCTCCCACTATCATCAATCAGGAATAATTTCAGAAAACTACAGTGATCTAGATTTAGCCATGGTTAATCAACCAAACATTCACCCAAGAAAATTACGAACTAAACTTAAAGTGCAATTAATTTTAGAATATAAAAGCAAACCAGGACCAATATTTCAAATGCAGTTAAAATGAAAAACAATTACTAATGCCTAAATAGGAACACATAAACGCAAACTACAGCTTAAAAATTCAGCTAAGACAAATTCAAAAATTGAATTTTAAAAGTTAGCTCATTTTGCAAACACAAATTCAGAATCTGGCATTGTTAAAGTTAGCTCTTTATTAAAAATTGGAAATAGTCTTTATTTGGTCACATATAGAAGGAACAACCTGAGTCAAGAATCCATTCATCACACAGTTGTTTTTCCATATTAACAAGGACCAATCTAGAATTAAAATTGGAAAAATTCTCTCAAAACATACCTGGGGACCTTTCTCTACCAGAAAATGGATACCTCGTTTTTCCCCAAAGATGGCGTAAGGTGCCATCTGTTGATTATTTGAAGCCAAACAGGATCTCACCCATTGCCAAATCATCTAGCAAGAAAATCACATCACTCCATATTTGAACTCTGTCGAAAATGAGCATGGCGTTGATGTACAATGTTTCACAGACAGACACCGGCCTCACCCTCTACTTAAAATTAAATGTAAAAAAATTTAAGTGTAAAATCAAACGAAAGACAATGTTTCACTCACTAACTGTTGAAGTTTGTAGTATTAACGATCTCTTAAAACCTGAAACAATTAAAAACAAAAAAAAATGGAACATTCAATAATATAGCTGAAGAAAATGAAAAAAAAAAAGCAAGAAGAATCGGAGAATGACATAATCAATCAAATACATATATAATAAAATCAGTAATCAAAGGTATGTAGTAATTGATAGTAACTTGTTTGATGTAATTGAGGACATTCTCGTTAGTTAACTTGTTTCCATCCAAATCAGTCACAAGGAAAACTACAAAAATTAAAGAAAACGAAACGGCAAAATTAGTAGAAGACTAAAGGAATTGCATCAAAGCCGGTTAATTAAATA